ATCTGCAAGAAGAAAACATATGTGACGCTAAATGGTAATGCTTGTATTTTTTTCTTTACAAAATCCATTTTGACAAATTCACAGGACATGACTTAATATGGATTAAAGATGCTATTTCAATAAGATACATCAAATAGTTAAAATTCTGTCATTTGGGAAGATGTGCAGCAATTTCAACTTTTTTGCAAGACCATGTCGGGCCAAAAATAAGGCAAAAATAAAAACGTGCAAATCTGACTGCAAGCTTTTAAAAAAGGTGTCAAAAATCAGTCATTTTAGGTTGCAACCATCACACAAAAATCATTTCACCATCCTGGAGAGACTGAAGAGTTGTGGCCTGTGTCTGAAGCAGAGATCCAGGATTTGATCTTTGACTCCTGCTTTTCTTGCGTTCAGCCGTCCTGACCCCGAGACGAGGTCAGAAGCTCACATGGGAGAAAAGGGCCTTAACTGTGTCTCCGTGTTCTTTCAGATAAAAGCAAATTTTTCTCTTTATTTGATAACCAGAGTGAACTTTCCCCAGCCAGTGAGTTTTTGGGTAGCCGTGTCAGCTGTAGGAGTTCTCTTTGCTGCTGATAAGCTTTATGGAGATGCTGATTTCATTTCCTGTTAGACTTTGTACCAAAACCTGCTTTGGTACGGCTGCGTTTGATTGGTTGGCTCATCCCTCTAACATCGTCGATGCAGTAAATCATGCAACATGAGCTATGACTACAGTACACGGGAACACTAAATAACTAAAATAAATCAACCTTCCCATGATTTTGACAGCAATACTCATCTCTTTGCGTGTCCTACGTTCAGGTAATAGCCCTTGAGGCCAGCTTTGCCCAGAACACTGACCCGTCAGGAGAAGAGGTGGACAGGCTGCGCTCTGAAACCAAGATGACTAGGCGGGAGATACACGGCTGGTTTGCTGAGAAGAGGAAGCGAGTGGCTGCTGAGAAGAAGAAGGAGGAGGCGGAGCGGGAGCCGAAGGAGGACGAGGAGATGGAGGTGGATGGAGAAGAGAGGCAGAGGGATGACGGTTCAGGGGAACCGAAAGTGAACCCCATCAAAATAAATCTGAAGATGCTGAAGGTGACTGAGGCTAGCAGTAAAGCAGAGGGGGAGGGATCTGGTAGTACGAGCTCTCAGCCTGGCAGCACGCCTGCCTCCACCCAGGGTCCCACCTCTTCCACCACCACTAAACCTTCCCAACCTTCCACCCCAACACAGAAAACCTCCCACTCCCCCAAACCCGCCACCGTCCGAGGGAAGAAGACGGCGGAGCAGCTCCACCTGCTAAAGCAAGTCTACGCCCGAACCCAGTGGCCCAGCGCCACTCAGTACGATGAGCTCATCTCAGGAACAGGGCTGCCCAGGCCTGAGGTGGTGCGCTGGTTCGGGGACTCCCGCTACGTCCAGAAGAATGGACTGCTGAAGTGGCTGGAGGAGTACCAGAACCTGGCCCTGGAGGAGGAGCTGCAGAGGGACGGCTCCAAGGTCCTGCAGGACCATCTGGACGCCCACGGCAGGCTGGACGACTCTCAGGTACAGGTCATCACCCACTTTCCTGTCTGACCACACTCAAAAAAACGGTACTGGAGTCAACAAAACACAAAATGTAATGAAGTTAGTTGCAGAATCTGCTACAATTACTTATAATTCATTGTACTTCAATCGAAAACCATATATCAATAAAATAATCGTTTTAAATTCATATTCCCTTTTTGCACACATTTTTGAGTAAATATACACATATAAGCTCAACAGCGTCCGTCGCTGCTGAAACACATTTATAAAAAGCTTCTGACTCAGAACTTCTGCATGTGTAACATGATTAAGTGCATGAAAACATTTCAACATGATAAAAATGAATGTCATTAATTCATCAAAATGAACACGTTAAAGTCCCAGCTCTATTTGCTGCATAAAAACCAAATAGTGTAACAAAAGGATGGCATAATGTTTGATAATAATTTTACAATATTTTTTTAAGTTTGAGTACTATTGATTGATTTCAGTCGGAAGTTCAAAGGTTAACTACCCAAGTGATCAACATTCCTGCGATTTATTTGCATATGTAAACGCTGGTTTCTAAGCCGTTGAGCACCTCAGCAGAACAACAAAGGAGGTGAAACGATTTTGTGAAAGCGTTTTCTAAACGTAGGCATGTTAATCCTGTATTTTTGTTTTTCTCGCTATATAAATATCCAGAACTATGATTCTAATAATAAAGTAGGCTGTGTGTCATGTTTGCAGCAGCAGGTGAAGCTGATGCTTTTCTGTTTTTGAATAACAGCAGTTGGATCACATTAGGCACCATGGTGTTGTAAAACTCATCATCAAACCATGAGGCTCTCATAACACAGTCATGTGACATTTTAGATAGTTTTAAAAATTATATATATATATATTTCTTCAGATGCGAGCCATGCTGCTCTGTTTGCTGTGGGAATTCTCAGGAAGCTTTTTGGATGCTGAGATCTTTGAAGTTTAAGACACACCTCAGGTCTTGATTCCTCCTAAATTCATCTGTCATCTTTTATCTCAAAAGAGATGAGAGTCTTTTGTTCACTGAATTACATTAAAAAAAAATCTCCTGATGAAAGAGGAAAGTTTTAGATGTTTTCATTTTGAGTGAAATCATCGCTTTGCTGTTTTTGTCCTCCCACTCCAGAGACGCAAACTTTATGTTGTAGTTTTGTTTATTTGTATGAGAAAATGTTTCTCTGTTTGGTGTTTTATGTCGGTTCGGTAAACATTCTCTTTCTTCCTCATCTATTATCCATGTCTCCCCTGTATGACAGGAATTATTTGATGAAAGCAAAGTGGCAAAGCAAAACACCTGGTATAAACAGTTATAGTAAATATTTTATATCATCTTATTATCTATAATAACAGACATTTCCCAACTATTTCTAAGAATTCCTCATTTTTTGGGGGGGTTTCATTTATTTTACTACAAAATAAAATGCTTCACATGGTAAATGTTTAGATCACTGAGGTAAATGACATTTTGCATGAAACATGGAAAGAACATTTCAAATGAGTTGAATTTAAATGATCAAGGTGTTCAGCTTCAACACCCGCCTGCGTCTAATCAATAAAACCTTTGTGATTACGTCCTAGTTAAAGAAGCTGGCTGAGAAAACTGGCCTGACGAGCGACTTGGTGCGGCATTGGTTCTCTACCAGGGGAGCGAACCCCGACGCTAAGCAAAGCGCTGCACAGCGGGGGGGAACGGAAGCCATCGCTGCAGAGGAAGCGGCGGCGCCGCCGACAGGATCCTCGGCTCTGGAGCCACAGCCGGGCGGCGGGACGAATGAGAAGACGGAGCAGTCTGTGTGTGGGTCAGAGGCTGACGCCGACAGCTCTGCTGCTGCTGCAGGTAATCCTGGACTCCATCTTTTATTGGGTTTTTTTAACCACAAGAAGAAAAATGTGTGTATATGAAGTATAATTTGACTTCAAGAAGCTACCACTCACACACCTCTTAATAGTTAAATGCAACAGAGAAAAATAGGAAATCATCTGTGTGTGTGCGTGTGCATGCGTGCGTGTGTGTGTGTGTGAAATGATCAGGTAGCGCAGAAATGCAAGGGTGGAACATACAAACACACCGATATTATGATGAGTAATGAGGCGTGCTGTGGCAGATATTCACTTTCCGCCCAACTAAACAGCTCAACTATAGATTTACATCTCTTCTGAATCACTTGTTGCTTTTTTTTTCCCTCAACAGGAAGTGAAGAGGCCTCAGTATGAGGACAGAGTTCACAAGGCAGGTGGTCTTTGTTCCGGCAGGACAGCAGATGGTTTGTAACTGGATCAGTGGTTTGAAACTGACCCCAGATCCGTCATCTCCCTCTGCTAGAGACGGACACTGCAGCCAGCCCTCCGTGTGCCATGTGACGCCATCATCCCGGTTTTACTTGATGACCACATGTTTGGTGGACGGAGGTCTGACCACGAGCGATGGGAAGTCTGTCATCAAGTCGTCGCCTTAGATGAACTTTTTTTTTCCCTCAGTCTCGCTCTTTCTGCTCAGCTAAACATTCAAACTCGGCCGCTCTCGGCGCGCCTTCGTCGCTCCTTGAACGCGTTTTCTCTGCTTGGATCGGACGGACTTTGATCTGGGAGACGTTTGGACTGAAGGCGGGCATCCTGTGACGCCCAAAGCAATGGGACGATGTGCTTAAAACCAAGTGGAGTTCGGATCTTCTCGTAGCATCAAGTGCTTCTCTATGTCTCGTTTGTTTTTATGAAACTGTCTTAGGAAAAAATGCAAAAGATCTGAACTTTTACCACAGTTCCATACTTATGCTCGATGTACAATTTTTACATGTGCATTTGGAGAATAAACAGAATGTAACAAATTCCAACTTGTTTCTCCTTCACTGGTCCAAGATGAGTGAACCAAACAAAATAATCTGAAACATTTTACTGTTTGAAGGATAATCTCTTTAGAAGACAAAATACAGAAACTTTCAACTGAATTTCACTGAGATGTAATGTGATACAGTGCTCACTGTAACCTGCGTAGAGGAGCAGCGTTATTGTGATGGGTTTAAAAAGACTGGCAAATTTCTTTTAAGTCTGGTTTGATCAATACAGCAGTTGATAAGTAATGGTGATCATTTATTGTGTTACAGAATGGCTGGAAAATACATAAGAAGGGTCTCTAATCGAGTGTTCTTAATCTGCTTCTAAGAAAGAGTTGCTGGATGTATGTAGTCCTACTTACATTAAAAAGAATGCAAAGCAACCTAAAAGTTTTAGGTTGTGCCTAATTTTAACACTTTGCATTTTTCAAAGGCTTCCTGCACCGTAAAGATTCACTCATTTCTTCAATCAAGGGATTCAAAGCCACACAAAATCATTCTGATGGCTCCAAAGAACACCAACCTTTGGTCAACCCAGGGTTAGTTTAAAGCAAATATGTGGGAGAGAATGGCTCAGTCAAAGACCAGACTCAATGAACAACCTGAGAAGAAAAGTAAGGCCCAGAAAGGATGTATAAAGCAGTGAGTATTTTATTGATTTTTCAGGCTTGAATATGTTTCATATGAAAGGCAAAAAAACAAAAAAAATTAATACTTCTCGTCATTGAGGTTTAGGCACATTACAGGAAGGCAAATGTAATGCATTGCTCCACACACATAAAAAAAAAAAATCTAAACACACTGGAGGAAGAGTACACGTAAGACAAAGGAGCTTTGGGATTAATGATTTGAGTGCAAATGCAACAAACTGCCCCAGCTGACCAGCATGATGACCCCGCTTTCACCTTACATCGTCCTTTATGGCTTAAAATGCATCTCAAAATTCTAAGAATGAGTATCAGTCAAAATCAGGGAAACACCGTTTGTCCATCGAACTTGGACCTCGAGTCCAGCTATAGGCTAATCCGTTTCCAGGCATGTAACGATGAGATGCAGCGCTGAGCTGCATCTCTGTGGAACTTTGGACCTTTCATTCATTATCGTTTGGTCGCTGCCGGTCTCCAATGCTCGTTTATCTCAATGCTGTGACTCCACTTGCACCGAAACGAGTGGGAAAGCAGAAATCCCGTGTGAGCAGAGGTAGAAGACTTTTTCAGCGACGCTTCAGAATCCACCTCCATCTGTATTCATCGGCAGAAAGCGATCCAGACCGGGATACTGGGCGGCAAAGCTGGGTCACTGTTACAAACTCCCATCTTTGTTTTTTTTACCCATAATTCCAGCACGAAAATCTTGTATTAGGAATGAGCAGAATAAACTCTTGTGAGAGTCTTAAATTTACACACCGCTGTTAAAATTCATGTTATTGTGATTAAAAAAAAAGAAAAGATTAATCGCGATGATTAGTTTTTGTTTAAAGGTCTTTTACACTTTTAATGTGACGCAGCCTGTATAATCGAACTTAAACATAAACAAACCAGCTTGAACCTCATTGCATAAGTTTAGACATCCTACAAATGACCAGTGGAGGCATTTCCTGACGACTGCAGACGTTCAACTGGAGCAACTCAGCCTGCAAACGTCTTCTATCTAAAAATCTCAATTTTAGGCATTAAAACGTTTTAGAGAAAACGTTTTTGGCTCAACCCGCGGGATGATGCGTTTGGAGGCCATTTTGAAAAGTAGAGGCCAAATATGCGACATACTCTCTAAAAACTAAAAAGCTGAATGGTGAGGACGCTTATAAAACAGGCAATTCCAGTTCTCTGGCATTTCTTAGATGAATTTAGAGCATCTGAAACATGTATCGTTTAACAAGGGTGTGTTTTAAGACACTGATGTGGATAAGAACATGATGGTACTGGGTGCAAACAGAAACAACAATCAGTCACCATCAGAGTCCAGGCCCGACCTCCATGGCTGCACCGCCGAGGTGCCAGTAGGGTCAGTGGAGGTGGTTAGCAAAGCAAGACCATGGAATGATGTGCAGCTTTCGCTTCGTTGGAATGTAAGTGAGAAACGCGATGCTCCTTGGAACGCAAAATCAGGCCATGACCTCTTCCTCCCCGGCTTCAATAATTATAATGATGACAATAAAACCAGAAACGCCTCTGAGATTTCAGTCCAGGCTGTAAGTCAGAGTCAGAGCGGAGGCACGTAATGTCTGTCACGAAGCAGAGCGAGGTTAAACGTAGCCGCAGAAAGCCCTCATGGTTCACGCCGACATGAAGTCACATGATGAACGTTTAAAGGTTTAAATAACTGGAATATTTAAAAACATGGAGACAGGAGCTCTTTGAGAGCAGGCCGGCTGCCGCTGCTGCTCTTCGGCCGACGTCGCAGCAGGAATAAATATCTGTCCAAACAGCAGAGAGAGAGGAGGGACCGGAACCAGAACCGGAACCAGAACTGGAACCGGCTCTGTCCCTTTCCTTCCGTTTGGTCTCCAAACTAAGCAGCTGTTGTCACAACGACGACAACAACAGTGGAAATCACAGTCCAGGACGTCTCCAGCCTTCCGGTTTCTTCTTCCTGTCTGCCGCCGTCTGCTTCCTGTCGGCGCCCTTCCGCCCCGCAGCAACCTTTCCCTCCTCCTCGGTTGGACACAGAGGCGGTGATGGGGAGGGGGGGGGGGGGTCTGTAGGAGGGAAAGCTGCCTGAAATGTAGGCCAAAGCGGTGGTGGGCGTTTCCATGGAAACAGCAATCACAGCAGTCAGTGACATCATCAGTACTGGGAGAGGCGACTGGTCCTCCGCAACATCCTGGAGAGAAAACGGAGATAGGGTGAGGTCCACGTCCTCTTACACCACCGACAGCAGCTGTCCGGCCGTCCACACACTCACCTTCGGTTCTGGGGGTCCATCTGGTCCAGCAGGGCCTCCTGGGACACCCGGAAGTCGTCGATGGGTGACTGGTAGCGGGATTCGAACGAGCCCTCCCTCCCTCTGTAGGACGTGGCCTGAGCGGGCGACTGGGGCAGCGGGGACACGGTGGACGACGTCGAGGACACGGAGCCCATCTCTCGCCCCACCTGCGCCGACGCCGGCGCCGACACGCTCCCCGCTGCGGAGAACGGGCTCAGGACTTCGCCGTTCTCATCCTGGAAACCACGAAGCAAAACAGGAGAGGATGATCCAGGAGCAGCACAGCTGCTGGTCCGACAGAAAAAAAAACAAACTTTCATTTCACCGGGTTTGAAAGAAGCAGTGAAGCTGAGCGATCATCACGTCTTCTAAGTTAGTTAATCGCTTGTTTAATCAGGATGCAGCTTGTTACAAAGTAAAGACAACTTATTTTCATCATCGGGGAGGCGAGTATGAAGGGACAGGAAGCCCGAAGCTATTTAAAGAGAAACTGTTTGTCGGGACTGGAGCGAGAGAGAGCAAGACATTCAGCAGAAATCTGAAGCAACGTCGATGACAAACACAGCTCAAGAGTTTAGAGCATGAAGAAAAAGCTCAACAATTCTGTCATCAAATTAAGTGAGACTTTCAAACTATCGCAAGCCGACATTTCCACAAGGGTGGAAAGCGGAATATTGTGAAAAGAGCCAAAGCATTTTCGCAGACAGCTGGGTGAAGGGAAAAGCAAAATCCATCCACTCAGTGAACTGAGGCTGGAGCCATCAAGATCCAGCACACACATCGATCAATGTCCAATTTCTGACCAAGAGGCATCAGACGCGTCTTACCTGGGCGACGGAGAAAATGAACTGCACTGTCGTTTAGAAGTTCAAAGTCAACCTTCCAAATGAAAGGAAACTTCACATTTCATTTGGGAATGAAGGTTGTAGAATTTGGAGGAAAAGTGAAGAGGCACAGAAACCTCGCTGCTTCAAATCCAGTGTGAAGTTTCCAACACCAAGCGCATCCCGTCTAACCTGGAAGCTTCACAGCAGCTCACACTCCCTTCTGCCGACAAGCTGCACGGAGATGCCGGGTTCTTTTCCCAGCAGGACTTTCCTATCGGATATTTACACTGGTGACCGTCTTTCAGCTGGAAAGTTTTTTTCCTGATGCAAAGAGTAGCTTCTCGTTTCTTAAACAGGGATTCTAGTCTGTTTAAGAAGAGTCAAATCATTGGCATCAAGCAGATGAATTATCTAAGGAGACTTGAGAACCTAATATCAATACATTATTAAAAACTACAAGGGTGAACCACCGTCATCTTTGAGGAAGAAATGTGGTTGGGATAAAAGACGTTTGTGGTCGTGACCAATTAAACGTTTGGCGACACCAAATTAAGAAAAACAACAGTAGAAATTAGAGGCGTCGTCAATAGAGAAAGTAAGATCGTTTCGTCACGGGAAACTCAATGAACTGGGACTGAACAGCTGTGTGACCATAAAACCACTAATCAGTGGCTAACCAGAGAAAAAAAGGCTTTCATTCGGAAGGAGGCATAAAGATGTAATCTGATGAGTCCAGATTTATCCTCTTCCAGAGCGACAGGCGCATCAGGGTAAGAAGAGAGGCAGATGAAGTGAAGCACCCATCATGCCTGTGGGGGCAGCACTATGATCTGGGTGGGGGTGGTCAGGTCAAAGTTCAGCAACAGGTTATCCTATCAATGGATTGGTTCTTTGCTGGCGGGAGGGAATTTTACAAGATGACAAGGCCAGGACTCATTGGGCTGAAACGACGCCACGGAAAATAAAAGCTAAACGCGTTCTTACGAAATATTAAAGTGTTCTTCCTTTTTTGTGCCAGCCAGTATATTTTGTAGTCTGGCCAAAAGAACGTATGTAAGGATTTAACTTTTGCAAATGAGAAACAGAAACTTTTCACAGTATTCAAATTTTTTGTATCTATATTTGTAACTCTTTGAGCCAAACAGCTTGAATGCGTCTGCATGTCAAAGTCTGACTGATGATCGGCTGATGACAGGAGGACGAAATCCTGCTGTTCATCAGTCGCTACTCTCACCTTTCTAACTCGATTTGTTTTGTTGTTTTTTTCTACTTGGTGTGAATTTCCAGTCAGCTCGTCCGTCTAGTCTTACTCTGAAGTGAGATTCAAATGACCAGGAAAGAGCGCTTTAAATATTCTGCTACTCATTACTGGAAGGGATTACAGCAGGCGTATTTTTAAAACGTAGTTTTAAAACGTTTTGAAGGTTGTAATTGTCTTGTTTTGCTGTCGTGTAGCCCAGGACTCCGGTAAAATGACATTTTTAATCTCCACAAGTTTTTTTTCTCTTCCTTGTTAAGTAAAGGCTGCAAACGAACATCGGTGAAGGTGGTGTGTTGAAACCATCAGAACCCCCAGAAACCCGATCCAATGTAAAAACTGAAAGACTTAAAAGAAAAAACTAAACTGGAACATTTCTCAACAGATTTTATTCAGTTTGTACAATTCTGCCATTTGGAGTCAAGTACAATTGACTTAAAAATAGTATTTACATTTTAAATAGTAAACACCACCACCAACACCGAAATAAAATTCCCATTTACAACATAAAGTTTAGGTTTTAGGTGCAACGCTACAAAAGTAGCAGAATATGTCTTATGGAGATGCCATAATCTCTTCAGGGTTTAACATCAGTGAAGATTTTGATTTGAAGATTTTGACTAAAATAGTAAAATAAGGCATTTTAAAACCTGGCATATGACGCTTACATACAAAATGTCAATGTAAATCTTGTAGGTTGGAATTATATTTAACAATTTGTAAAATATATACACATTCTTTCCCCCTCATCTCACACTAGTCAGCGACATGTTGTTCTCACATCTAGAACAGATGTGAACATGCAGCTTCAGATATGAATCTGTAAATAAACGAGTGAAACAGACGAGTAGCACTTCTGCAACGATGAGAGAACCGATTCTCCCAGAGTTGTCAGTGTTTAGACACTTTTAACCATCTTTCCATAAAGCCAATTAAATAAAATACTCTTGCGGCTTTCCTCGACTAAAAACAGCAAACCTCCTGGTTTAGCATTAAAATAATTTCTTAATCATAAAACAATAACATCTATATGAAGCAAGTGCATGGTGCCTTATGGCTTTTATAACCGGCGGGTTTAGAAGAAGCCCGGGTAAAGAGACTAACCCACCCTTCCTCTGGTGATTTCCATGTGGACCAACAGAGAAGCCAACTCCAGATCTTCACTGTAGCTGTTCTTCAGCGGTACCGACCTGTAGCCTGAAAAACAAAAACACACGCATTTACAGCTGCTTGCATCCACGCAGCATCGAGATTTTCCTCTCAAAGACAAAGATCTGGGGAGTCAACACACCTGTCTTGAGGCTCTGAATGGGGAATGTCGCCTGAGCCAGAAAGTTTTGGTCGTTGAACATGTCGATTTCATAAACCCCGAAGCGCAGGAAAGCAAAGGCAGAGTTGCAGACCGTGAAGGAGAAGGACTTCCTGGGCCAGGTCGGGTTCAGGCCGTTGTCAGCTGGAGAAGACCGCAGACATTGACGCAACATGAGACACTCAGAAATGAGCTGAAATAGTTATTTATCCTCCAGACGATGAGTCTGAGGTTGTCACAGCGTCCGTCCTTTATGATCAGAGGCTCCTACATATCAATAAGTACACGTAGGAAAGTCTTTAATCTTATTCTGCGAGTTTAAAACTCAATAAGCTTCTAAAATGATCCATATTCATTTACAGATCAGTTGCAGTTTTGAAAACAAAGTTCCACACAATGTCTGTTCCCCACAAAACAGACATAAATCACATAAACACAAAATCTAAATTTTGATGAATGCGGATACATCAAAAAACACATTTTGAGCTGGATGTTGAAAACGCTGAAGACACCAGAGGACCCAAAGTGTTTTCCTCTCTGGGATTAGTCCTCCCTCTTTCTCTCTTGTAAAACGTTTTTTGTTTTTTTTAAATAATTCATGAAACTCAAATCCAAACTGTGTGAAACTTTGAGAGACGCTCACGCTAAATCAGCTGAAAATATGTTACATTATAGTTAGAAATTGCTTCTCAGGTCGTGCTAGTGTGAAAAAATTTATTTCTTTACTTAATTCTTCATTTTTGTAAGCAATAATTGCATATTTTAATCAGTTTACGTTACTTATGCCTTTTACTGTTCCTAATTGTTAAATATCTGTCTCCGTTTAAAGCACCATATTTCACTTCCATATAAAGAACTCTATTAAAGAATGGCTGGATGGCCTTTTGTTTTGTCTATTTACTTAATCATTATAATAAGTTAATTTGGTTTATAATGGATTAATTGATTGTATGAGCGAATCATTTCCAATAATCATTCTATTACTAATCTTTAAAGAACCATTGTTGTATATATGTGTGAATGAAGCTTACTTTGGAGACACTATCGTGGCTCTGCCACCAGGGGGCAGTGTGGCACTCCTTTCTCACATTCCACCAACTACAACAACATTGCCAACGGGCTTTTATTGACATGAAGGAGCCACATCCTGTTAGGCATGTGGTCTGATCAGAGCATCACTGCACTAACAGAAGCTCTGATGACACTCATTGAACCGGATCAGTTGGAAATAAAAAAACTAAAATCAGCCACATGTTGAGAAAACCCCCACAAGTTTCAATGTAAACCATTCCACCTGACAAACTACAATTATGTCAACACTGCACAATGTTTTTGCTTTTGTATTCCCAGACAAGGACAAATTGTTTGCACAACTTCCTGTTTTCCTACGACCACAAAGGAAATTTTACACAAAAGGTAATTGATCCAATAAACAATGAAAAAATTAATTTAAAAATAACTCCTTCCGACGGATTTGGCGCATAGGCTCATTCCTGGAAGCTGCAGTTGAAGCGGCGCTCACCTGCGTTTTCTGTTTTCTGCTTGTCGTTGTCGTAGTCCGCCCCACACACCTCGATCTCGATGAGAGGAGAGACGATGCCTCTGCCGTGCTTCGGGAGGTGCCGAGCGCCCAAAACCTTGAAATAAACAGTCACGAAATTCACATTCATCCCACCTCAAACTACAAATACACATGCAGTCATTCATTAGATTTTTTTTTTTATCTACATGGTTCTGCTGAGCTGGACTTCTACAACTTATTTATAGTTTTTGCTTATCATTTCAGTCAGCTTGAAGCTTATGATTTTTCACACTGCTTGATTTACAATTATTGCAAAACTGCTTTTGACTTTTGAGATATTTAGACTTCAATTGAAAAAAACAAAACAATTCACATCTCTGAGATGCAGATACAGTCTGGGAATTTGCAAGCATAGAAAACGTGCAGCGTGGTGAAGAGTGTGAGAGAGTGCAAGCAAAAGAAGAAAGAAAAAACAGGTTGCTGTGAGCAAAGTTGTTCTGTGGCAAATTACCACAAAGAACTGAAAGCATGTGAAAGAAGCCCTGGTTTGACTCAGCCGAGGGGGAATCAACAATCTCACTGCTCCTCTTAGGAGGTGGTTTCCCATCTTTGCAGCCTACTTGCTGAGTTGTGCTTCCTAAAACAACCGACTGAAGAATACAAACATCTTACTACGTCTTAATATTTCAATGCCACTCTTACCACGTCGAAGTCAAACAAAATGAAGAGAGCAATACGGTAAAGGGCAAAATTGAATGCAAAATATTTTACCAACATGTTTCTTCTGATTGAAAATAGCATAAAAACTACAACTAATGCAGTTAGTTGTGTCTTAAGTCTTTAATTTTACTTCATAAGTAAAAAAGCTAAATCACAATTAATCAACTTTTCCAAGTCGTCTTAATAAAGGCTCCTTATTGTCTTTTACTAGAATTAAACCTTTGATTTTACCTCTATTTTCATTGAGACTTGGTCTACACCACGTAGTGTGTTTTTGTCGAAGGGATCAAAGGTGTCGTCTCTCATGATGGGAGGCTGGAGGACATATCCGCTCCTTCCATTCAGCATGAACAGCGCCTGGTTCATCTGCATCGGCTTGTCTGTGGACAGGCGGAGAGAAAATGGCCAAAGGAGGTGAAATGAGTGGGAAAAAACTGAAAAATAAAAAAAAGAAAGCCCAAAGATGAATTCTCCTTTCTGCACTTCAACGAACCAGCAGTCTGAAAGTTGAGCGCGACCAGCTGGGAGCCGCAGAGCCACATGGGGAACGGGTCGTAGTTGGAGGAGTCGAGCCGCTGGCCTCTGGGGTAGATTCTGGACAGCTGCAGCCGGTTGTACTGCAGGAACTTCTTCCCCTTGGTTTTGTTGACGTACTTCTCCGCTTTGGTCTCGGGAAAGGACGACATGTCCTGGAAACAGGCCCGCTCTGTGCCAATCTCTGAGTGAGGCAGAGAGGGAAGGACCGCGGTTAATCTCAGAACCGGTTTAACTTCACCATAGATCACAATTTGTGTGTAATCCTCACTTTCTTCATCAAACGGGACCGGCCTGCAGTAGATGACCAAATCTGATAGTTCCAACGCAATCTTCTTCCTCCTCTCCATTATCTTGCCTTCTTCCAGCTGAGCACGGAGACACAAACACGTAAACATGGCAGCAGTAAGGGCAGCATACAGCTCAGTGTGTGTGAAAATAACATTAGCATTCACATGCACTGCACTGTTGGTGCTCATGAAATATTTACAGCTATTATAAAGGAGACAAAGTTCATATTTCTGTGCATTTCCTAATGCGTTTTCACCTTGGCCTCAGAAGTTGCAGCAACTTCCTGGATTTTTGTCTTCCAGTCTTGAAGTTCCTCTGCGCTGTTGGCAGCGACGTCCAGCAAAGTTCCCTGCACTGTGTTGTTCTGAACCAGAGAGAAGACGAACGGTCTGCTGCCCTTCCCTTCAGTGCGCGTGACTGAAGACGAGTAAAGAAAAAGAAGAAAGAGGGAAAATAACATGACATAAGTAACATAAGTTACCAAATAACAGTCCCAGTTAAATCTAGATTTTGTGTAAAACACTAAGCACTGAAGATGTTTCGCTTCAATTTTTTAAAAATAAAAATGATTTATTCTAAAGCCACTAGATGGAGATGTTGAGCTAAAGAAAAAAAATATATATAAGGGAATCTTCTGGGTCAATATTTAACTTAATTTGTTCATACTTTTTTTTTTTTGGCTGAGACATTGGATAATTATTTCCTCTTGTTTTGGATGCTGTGCAGCTGAACAGATTTTTACCCGAATTTCTTTAGTTGTTTTTTTTTTTTACTTTTGTCCAGTTGTGATGTGTAATCTTGACAACAATGTATAGTTTTTACAATTGGGAGCAGCTGATAAGCATCTCAATGGCTCAAATAATACATAAACTACAATTCCTAATCCTAGAGTGGTTGAAAAGGAGACTTCATTGATTCAGAGCAGAACCAAAGAGCAGAGAGAGGAGGAGGAAGTTCAAACCATCTGTTAAATCAATAATAAAGGGCAAAGATTGACTCCAATGTTTCTCTGCCCAGCTTTCTAACCACATGATCAGATAAAGAGGAGTTGCAAAAACAAAAACACGGTAACTGAAGACTGCCATACCGAAAGTGTTACTGTGGAATATCATCTCTGCTGCCCTGGAATTGAACCGGAAGCATGTTCTGATAGCCATGACACGCTCATGTAGCAACAGTCTTCTGTCAGACGCTTTATTATATTCACTGCAAAACTGACTGCTACTGGAGAACCTTCATCAGCATCAATAACCACAATCACACTTTGAAGTTAGTTGGACAGCTGATTTAAGTTCTGACATTTAATTTCCCTTTTGGAATAAATTTAAATAAATAAATAGCCATCCAAATCGCCTTGATTCGATATAAAACATAATTTCCAACCCAATCTAATAAATGGTTTAGGCCTCGTTAGGGAGCAACGACTACCATAAACCATTTGTCTTAACAGGCAATTAGATTCTTCTAGATGAATCTGGGTCCATTGTTCTTTGCAGAATTGCAAATGTTTACAGCTTGTTTACATTCACACACAACAACTCTACCAGACTTTGACTAGGCTACCACAAATGCCCCAGATCGTTACACTACTGCTGCATGTTTGACTTTCACGGTATTCCTCACTTGTGAGGCAAGTGAAGATTTTTTAGCCAGATTCATGCTGCCAGATTTCATGTCTCTAAAGGTCAGGCTGCGATCAAGCCATGGTGTGGCTAGATCAGGAGTGCCCAGAGTCGGTCTTCGAGGGCCGGCATCCTGCATGTTTTAGTTCTCTCCCTGGTTTAGCGCACCTGGATATAATGACAGCTCAGTAGAGGCCTAAGAACACTGACATGCTGAGGAGGTTGTTACTACCACCAGGGAGAGAACTAAAATGTGCAGGTGCCGGCCCTGGAGGACGGACTTTGGGCAACCCTGGGCGAGATGAATGACACTTGATTTAAAGAGGTCATTCAAATCTCTGAGATGTAGATGCAGTCTGGGTGTTTGCAGGAAACGCAAACATGAAGCACAGTGATTCGGTTTACACCCGACCCCTTTTTCACACAGAATCTGATTAGTTTGGATAAACGTCTTTCTTAGTAAATAACTCAGCTTATTGCTGTCTCATATTTAAAGAAAATTGACCCTATGACTCAAAGTATGTAGTCCTTATTTTTCTTGTACAAGCACTTTGAATTGTCTTTGGCTGAAAGGTGCTTTATAAATAAAGTTGCCTTGCCTAAAGACAAATGTTCTCACAATGAGAGAATAAGATGAAAATCAACACAGTGAACTATCGTTTTCTTCATGAAACTGTCAAAACTCTGCAGTCCGGTGGCTTAAAGGCAAACTGATAAAATATGTAAATACAAGCTTTACATAGGTTTCCAAATGCATGCTCAGAGGGTAAAATTCGAACAACCTTATCTTTTAATTCACTGTGGTTTTCCTAGTCTGAACATGAGATAAAAGCGTGTGAAAAGCTATATAAAAAAATAATCATGAGCAACGCAATCTTTGAGCAATGAATTAAGAAAGAGGCCGATAAAAGAGCAGTCAGGAAAGTAGTAACACAGAAAGCACCAGCCTCCATTTTTCAGCCTGAATTGGGGCCTGCTGGCAAGGCAACAGGTTGCTCTGCAGCCCTGCAAAGAGTCTGACAGGAAGTGAAGGGGCTACTCACTAATCTGGCAGGAAGTTACGTCCACACTTCCTCTCAGCAGATCTCCGAGAGGGCTGTTTTCTGTAATCTCCTGCATGAGGAGGAGGAGAAGACAAAAGTAGACAAAAAAAGAAACAGATTACAAAATGTTTCATCTCTGTTGACATTTTATTCCACAATATGCAGGGATCCAATGAGAGAGATTCATGATGTTCAGCAGAATAAACAACAAGGTGGTGATCCTCACAGTTCTGTCTGGCTCTGCTGCCGCTTGGCTGATCTCCTCAACATAGTTTGCAGGGAACCACATCTGCTTCTTCCCTGCACAGTCACCTTTCCACCTGCGGCAAACACAAAAAATTTAAGAGCATTTCTAACCAATGCCACAGCGGCACTATGTTATAATTCACTCACTGCTCTTATTCTCTTCCTAGAAAAATGCAATCTCTGCGAATGGAAGAACAATTTCCTGCGCTTCTCACTCACCATCCACCTTCCTGTTTGTCTACGTTGGTGATGACGGCGTTCTTGGAGAAGGAGAGCTCGTCGTCTCTCTGAGCTTTATACTCGTACATGGCTTTGACTGTACACTGGAACACCCAGAGAGCGTTATTAGATAAATAATAAATAACAGGAAGTGCGAGTGTTCAGAGACGCTGGAAATTCACCTTCAAAGTTGGCATTTGATTGGCCTCCACGTAAAAGCCTGGATTCCTGCCCTCATACAGCGACCCATAGTCTGGCTCCTGTTGGTCAACATGCAGTGTTTACAGTCTGTGGAGCGTTCTGACTGAGTTTATTTATTTTTAATTAACGTCTAGCCAATATGCAGTGAATAGCACTCACGGCAGTGCCTATCTTCTCCAATGTGTCATCGTTGATGGGGTAGCGTAGCTTCATTTTCCGATACAGAGGGTGCTTTTCATGATAACTGATGAGATCGACGAGGCTGTCGAACTCTGAAGTGCCAAGTAACACAACCTGACCTTCCTGCAGCACTCTGCAGTGCTTGATCTTACCCTCGGCCCTGAAACCACACAAAAACTCACAGTCATAATGACAACAAGTGGTATACAGTTTAGAAGTATGCAATGCCGAACAAAGGTTTGACATTCTGTAGAAACATTTAAATGCATTTTTGAATTAGATGGACAAACACAATGACAGAAAATTTGTCTTTTAATGTCACTATTTTTTAGAAATTTAAAATAAAAAAAATGGGAGTTTACACTTGAATCCAGTTAGTATTATTCATTGCTATATAGAATCACCCGTTTCTGCAGTATGTGCAGTTTATAAACCTAAGGATTTCTGTCTGATGAAGTCACAAAATCTTAATATCAAAATATAAGATGTTACTGTAAAATCTCACAATAACTTGGTCTATGTTCAAAACACCTTCTTTTACATGCTCACTGTATCCTGTGGTATTCATACCAAGATGGACTCTGGATATTAGGTGACTGCCGCAGAAAATTAGCTGCACAGAAATTTATTAGGGGTATCAGAGTAAAGAGATCTGAATACAAACAGACTGGTCATTTTAGTTTAGATTAATAACATGTCATTTCCCTTCCACTTTATTAATAGTAGATTGTGTTTGTCTATCACATAAAACCCCAATAAAACACTGCAGTTAAGGGTGACAAAACAAAACATAGGAAGGTTCCGGGGGCATCAATACTGGAAAGCTGTACTAACAGCTCATGGCTAAACCAGGTCTAGTGAATTAAAATAAAAGCTCAACATAGATCAAAAAGGAAAATACAGGCATCAGTCAACAGGGCATCAAGATGGAGTTACCTGAATGAAATGGCAAAAGAGTTGGGCTCTGTCCTTTTCCTGACTAGGAAAGCCCCATCACGAGGAACCCTCATCAGCATGTTCTCTGCCTGGCTCCTTGAAAGGTTGGCGTGGTACCATCTGCAACAAACAACCCAAAACACACCATGAATAACTTCATTCTGATTCTATGGCTCTACGTTATCGACTTATCAGAGAAAACAAAGCTAGGTTAATCCTGAGTTCAAATATGAACACAGTAAATCCATCCGTGAACAGCATCATCAAACGATCTCGGAATTTAAAAGATTCCTGCAAACTCACTCCTTGCTCTCATGAGCGTTGGTCTGAGGCACTGGCTCGGTCAGCTTCATCTCAAACTCGTTGCAGCGTAGCGCCACATGCTGGTAGTGGGTGATCAGAGCAAAGAGCGAGTCGAACACCAGGTTATCCGTCAGGTAGAACTTGGGGCTGCCAGCTTCTTGGCGAGAGTGGATCCGGCAGTGCTGCACACGCCCCAACCGCCTAGCGTACCGCAGGAGGAGAGGAAGTCAGAACAACAGTGTGCTGCTTTGTATTTTCACTGTTCATGCATTGGCAGAGAGTTACCTAGGTTCATTTCAATATGGTAAAAATATTCCCTGACACTAGACATTGTAAAAATGACGCCTAGCCTGATGACCTCTAAGACATAACTAAATAAAATCCCACACAATGGAGATCATTACTAACACACACTTATTTTTGACATTTATCGTAATTTGGTGTTTAATTTGTTCAAAATGAAAAGCGATGCATGCCTGAGCAGCATGCAGGGCCACATTTATCTGTAAAATTATTGAAGTATTTCTGTATGACCTTATCAGCCTCTAATGTCTCTGAAGAGAAGTGGTGGCTGCTATTTTAGACGTTGCTTCCTTTCATTGATTGTTTTAGACGTTTGTTTCTGCTCCAGCCTCCTGAGCTCATCAAAGTACATTTCAATCCATGGCTGAACTTTGACCGGTCGATGCAAAAATCTTTATTTTTTTTAGTTTGTTTTATGCTTAACTGCTTTGCAGATTCAAGAGAAAAACACCAGTGGGAACCAGTGTATCCAACAGGTGTTGTAAATACTGCTGTACATTTTGTTTCTGACCAACGAGTCGTCGAGCATCATAAACCAAACATGTTTTCACTGCTTCTATCCAAAGGTAATCAGAAGAAGAAACCTTGTAGATCAACACTTGTATAATTTGTCAAATTTGCTTGTTACTTCCTAATAAATAGATCAATCTCAGTTTATTCTCTCTGCTTTTTTTCTAGTCTCACAGAAAAGTCTTAAAGCACTGTAACTGCTGTATTTACCAGAACGACAGTGTGTAGTCTCCTACAAAGGTTTCGCTCTCCCGGACCAAGAAGGAGCCGTCAGGAGCTCCGGTCTCTTGGCAGTAATCTGACAGGAGCCTCTCAGCGATCTGCCGTCCGTCCCGCCCGGCGCCAAGCTTTCCATGAAACCATTTCTCCGTCACATGCTGGTCCATAGTATTGAGCACCTTACCAGAAACAAAGACATCAGCCAAACTGTAGCTACAGTGTTTCCATACTCTGCAAAATGCATCAGGTTTAATACCATTTTCTCATTGGCCACCTTTATCTTCCAGACCAGCAACGGTAGTGCAAGTTTCACTAACTTCTGTTAAATGCTTTTTAAGACCATCATTATTTCAATTTAAGACCAAACATATACTTAGAAATATTTAAGTAAGTTCTGCACCTAATTATTAGTGTACTTGAATTTGCATAAAAAAGTTAAAAAGATTTTCTGTTTATGGTCCCCCCCAGTGATGAGATGGGATTTATGCCCTTGCTTGCACTAACCTCCTTAAGCTCCTCATCCTCGTCATTACCCAGGTTATTGGTGGTCTCCTCTGAATAGTAGATCTTATTGTGAGTCAGGACAAAGAAATGAGGGTACCAATCCTGTAAAAATAAGAAGATTAAAGATGCAATGAAATGAAAAAGCGTAGAAAACTTTCAAAACCAACGGATAAGAAAAACTGCAGAACTTTGTGTCTTTTTTTACAGCTGCAACATTTAGAATGACTGGAAGAGTCGGGGATATGAGTTGCAACTTTCCAGTCACCCATCTGTCTCTGAACGGCCTTTCATGTGGCATCAGCTCTGCAGTTTCCAGGCAGTCAGAATGCTTACATGGTTAATGGGATCTTCCAGGTAAAGGATGCCGTTTTTGATGGAGTTGCTGATATCATTCTCGGAATAAGGTGTGGCTGTCGGCACCTCCTCGTAGGCACTGCCCTCTGCCAGCTTCTTATGCTGAGGCACAAAGAAAGAGAAGGACAGTCAGGAGCAGCAACATTTTAACCTGCGTAGAAACGTCATTCCTAAAAAACTGAGAGTGTTAATGGACAAATATATGTTAGAGGAACACAATATCTGAACATAGAAAAGATTTGACATAAATAAATGGTCAGATAAGTAACCAAAAAAAAACTGCCTAACTCACTGAGCCACAGCACTCAAAGAAATAGGAAGTGAGAATCATATTATAGTATATGGATATTAGTGCAACACCTGGATCCACCCTGTCTGATATAGCATGATTATGAAGATAAGGTTTATTTTCTTGATTAAAGAAATTACTTATTTTCTTGTTAAATGTTACATTTATTTGGATGGAATGAGCGTGGTTGCTAAAAAAAAGATCCTTTCCCGTCCTCTCAGCCTGAGGGAGGTCAAAGTAAAGATCCAGAATTCTTGCAAAAAAATATAAAAAATCATACAAAAAGTGCTTAATTGATTTCTTAAGGCCTGACCTTAATGAGAATCTTCTTTTTGAGCTGGTTGGGTGAAGGCAGGCCGTCTGCAGCCATATCTACGGCTTTGGTCAGCAGCATGTCTCCAAACACTTTCTTGAACTGGGTGGCCATATTCCTCTGCTGAACAATGCTACAGTGATCCTCAATGGACAGGATGATGGGATACCTGAGGGAGATGCACCAATTAAACCAAGATAGGTTGAACATTTCCTAAAATATCTTTTACTGCAGACATATTGATAAAGGATGACACATCTACATTCTTTCCACTGTGCAATCTTCTGATCTCAGTCCTTTCTTAGTCTTCTGTTATCTTATCAAGAACAAAGGTCATAAAGGAGAAACACAAGCTGGTGAAGTCAGGAAGACTCACTCGGATGTGACAAAAGCGTGGTCTTTGATGGTGTTCAGAACATCGTTGAACTTGATTTTCGTCGTGAGGGTGTGTCCGTGGTAAATAACTGGCATCGAGTCAGGACCATCCCAGCAATCCACTGAAAGCAAACAGACGACTTTATTCTTAGTAACAAGAAAAACATGACGTATTTGCAGGCACCCAAGAACCTGTCACGGTTCAGCTAAAAGGTTGAAAGTAATCTGACAGTTACAATGACAGAGCAGGTCACGTGTGCTTACGTACATTCGATGCAGCGACATCCCATTCTCAGACAGCGAGCGTACGCCTCCAAGGACGACTCGCTGGCAAACTGGTCTCCCGTCAGGTAGCTAAAAATAACCACGCAAGAATAACTTATGTACACAATGTAAGTTCGTACGTTAACAGTCAACCAGAAATAACAGACACACAGTGTCTTTGTGTATGTATTAAACAAACAAAATTACAAGTCCTGTTTCTCTTTTGTCAACCGAAGTTCTTGTTTCATATCCATTCAAACAGACTCAAAGGAACATGGGAAATTTTCACTTCACTCCCTCAAAAAGTATTGTTTCACGTCTAGGACAAAAGGTTATCATCAGAAGTGCCTTTCTCACACTTTTCAATGCCTGGAAAAATACTTATTCTTACTGAATACCAGCATGAATATTATTCTGGAACATAATAAGGAAATAATACGCTTTTATCTGATACAAGAAGTCAGTGTAAAAGGCTTGTTTGGGGAAGAGGATGCCAGGCTTCAGCATTCCCAGGACCTGACTACAATTGACAGAAGAAAACGTTCTTCATAGGGACAGCTTTTCTTACGTGTTGTGTGAAGAGGAGATCCAGTAGTGGGACAAGGGGTTGTTCATGTTTTCAGCACACACCATGTCCAGGGAAGAATCCCAGATGGTGTTCTCTTTGGAGAAGAGGTATGTGAGGAACTGCAAAGAGGAGAAAAGAACAAAAGTTTGTGAAGGAAACTATTTCAGAAATCCTGGCTTGGTTTATCCAGTTAGTCCAGTTCAAAAAGTTACAATTTTGAACACTGAGATAAATCTTAAACTGGTTACAGCTTGCAGATGAAAACTCAAAATGACACTGCAAAACCAATAACAGATTATTTTTAACTCTTAAATGTCTGGTCACTGAAGATTATGTGCATGTGCATTACAGTAGGTGGTGTAATGCTTTGTCTGGACTGCCTTTGCATGAATGACTACATTAATGCAGATTTTAAAGTAGCTCAGGATGCTTAAATAGCCTTTACATTGTTGGCTGTGATCTCTCTCCTCTTCATTTTGACAAGAACAATAGATGAGCTTAAGATCAGGCAGGTTTTTCCTGCATGGTGATTAAACAAGGTATTGGTACCTTTGGCAGTGTGAGAATGTATCACGTTCAGACGGAAAATAAAGCTCGTCAGGAGAGAAATAAAGTGGTCTAAAATGTCCTGATAGATGCACTGACATCAAACTTCATAAAATACAGTGGAGCAACATCAACAGATGACGTGTCCCCAAAATTACCACCAGCTGTGTAAATGTCACACTGGACTTCATGAACCAGATTGTAAGCTGCAGTCCACTCTCTTTTTAAAAGCTTTTACTCCAGTTCTCTCCAGGCTGCAGTTATTCCTTCTGCTTTGACACCTTTTCCACCACATTTATTTCCATCTGCCCAGCTTCCTAATAATAAACTTGCATTTGGCACTAAAACATAAATAAAAAAATCAGAAACAAAAGAATAGACAAGAATCTTTTGCACTGACTTCAAATGAACAAACAAAAAATGCTAACACCACTAAAATTCATCTCATTCATTATATCCAGGGTGCTTTTAGAATAATTACAGATTGTTTGATATGCAACTACAGTAATGCTTTTTCAACTTTTAGTCATTATGTGAAAACGCAACAAGAAGTTGCTGGATTTTGTTTTTGCCCTAAAGATAGTTAAAGCCTGTTTCAAGCTAGAGAAATTTCTGATAATCTCAAGCTTAAAATCAAAAATCCTTTGGGTGGTCCACCCTGGAATGAACAGGTTCACCTCCTGTGATGGAGTTGAGATCTGTGAATGTCTGTGGCTCCAGTCATCTGCTATTAGTGACAACGCTGTCCCACTTAGATGTTTGTCACTGTGGTTTGTCAGTTCAGTTTTTCTTCTCTCTTGCTGAAGGTGTAGAAACAGACTTCTACAGTATTTTCTTGTTCTCTTTATCTTTATTTTTCTCTAGGCTTGTCTAATTTCCTCTTAAACTTTGTATCTCCCTTTTTTCCTTTATTTACAGTCTCTGTCTACTACATTTGAAGTGTTTTATAAAAATCAAGCGTAGAATTCTACACTTGATTCTACTGAAAGCTACAATGCTCCACTGACAACTATCCAGAACCACATTGTTCGACAGGACACACTAACACTATTTTAAAAACAGAAAGAGAAAAAACAGGGTGATTATACCACTAATTTAGCACTGGTACCGTTTCAGATGGGGTCCTGGTTGAAACTGCAGTACTGGACACATTCAATCCTGTAAACAATTATTCTATAAGCTGCAAATGCTTTAAAAAAATATTCAGGCGGTAGTGCAGGTTCAACAGTTTCTGTACAGGAAGAAGTTTCTTGAGTCAAACCCAAGTTGAGGCCTTTCTGTGTGGAATGTGCAGTTTCTGTGCTACTTTGTTTCTGCGGTGGTTTTTAGCTGATTTACCCCGACTTTCATTACAAGTCAGTGGTGACATGTGAGATATAATGCAGCATCTTGCAAACTGCTGACAAAGCAAAATTACTTTAATGAACTGAAGTGACTTTCTGGTCCAACTGAAGACTGTATTTCTGCTTGTTAGGTGAAGGCATTATCTAACTTCTGCCAGCATCTTCTGCAGACTGGTTCTCACCAGCTTCCTTTCCTTTTAAGTCATTACATTATAGGTGACCACAAAAGCATCCTTCGCATTCTGCAGAACTGTCATGAAGCCTTTTGGTAAATAGCCTTTTCTGACTGCGTAGGAGATGGTATTTTAGGCCAAGATCTTCGGTATCCATATCAGTGTCTGAATAATCTCCCACCCACAGTTGTAGCACAGAGAGGGGCATTGGAAAACTTTACTTCTGAAAACATCTGAAATGTTTCCATTAACGAGTGAAACCCTCAGAACAGAAGAGGTTAATTTATTTACCTCCTCTGGATGGAAATATGGATCCTCCACTTCCCTTAGGGGGTCTTTCAGATAGCTGAACATAAACTCCTGAACCTTGTTGTTGTCTGAGGCCCATAGTTCCTTAAATGCCCAAACAATAAATAAAAAATACAGTCAGATTAGAGAGCACAAACCGAAACAAGTTCAGTGACATGTTAAATAGCTGAGGGATCACCTTCTGGTATTCGATGAGGAAGCTCTGGAAATCCTCCAGGGTGATCCTTTCATCAACTACGTTACCCATGAACCTGTTTGAGAAGGAAGCAGGAAATTAACAACTGGCATTCAAAAAAGATTTACTGTTCACATCAGAGTCTCGTTTTTAGGATCTACCTTTGCATAAAAGGGATCTCCACCTGAAAAGAGTAAAAAAAGAAAACAAAATATTTTAGTTAATTTCTATCACAGTGCTATACTAATGCTGTATGCAGTTCTGCTTATGTAGACAGACAAAGACTTCCAGCAGGTTGGTTGAGGCCACTGGGGTCATCCATTTAATGTGACCAGAGTCTGTCTGCTTGCTCATCTGTGCGTCCTAATGGCCTCTACTCGAGGGGTTTGCTGGGTTTCACCCGGTGCATATTGATCTTGCAGCCATTTGAGAACACACAGATGGGGGATGAAGTGAGCCTCAGCAGGGGATCGCAGAAGGGGAAGAGAGATGGGAGCACATAAAATGTCTGTACTTACATTTTTCTGCGTATCGAACATGAGGTTACGATAAAGCTGGGCGAACTGGCTAAAGGTCACGTCTCCATTCCTGGTTTCAGAGTCCTTGCAAAGCAAGAGGAGAAGGATGAATGTGTAAGGAAGAACCTTCATAAATCATAAATCTTATGGTGGAACAGGAAGTAGGCAAGGAGAGAGAATGGAAAGGTGGTCTGTGATAAGACGGAGAGAGGTTACCGGAAGTTTGTCTTTGATGAACCTCATGTTTGGCACCTTGTAGTTGACCTGGCTCAGCATGTTCTTCAGATCCTTATAGGATATCCTACGCGCACACACAGGCACGTTTTGTGAAAACAAAAATGATTAAACACTAAAATGCATGAGCACGTAAAATCCATCCAAGCCTGGACACCATCCTATCAGATTTATTTTTCTACTGCTTCGTTTCTACTACAGAGCCTGAAATTGTTGGCAGGCTATGAGAATAGCCTTAAAAAATAACAAAGACAGGGATGTAGCAAACAAACATCTCTGCACATCTCCTTCGTGCTCTGCAGTCTGTTTCCTGCTGCAGGAAAAGGGGCTAGTGTTTGGCTCTTAGGTCAGTTCCTTCACTACACCTCAACTGAGCGCTGACAAAAACACCCAGCATCCAGATAGAACCAGTTCACTTTCCTCTTGATTATTAAACGGCCACTTGAAGAAGGAAAGTTATTTGCTGCTGATCTAAAAAAGGCATTTCACAAAGCAAACTAAAAGAAAATATCTTGTCCTCTATAGCAGTGGCGACCAAACTGTTTTTTTCCCCCCAAAACCATAAAGTTGAAAGTGCCGAGCGATTTAAAAATAAGAAATTTTTAACTAATTATGATGACCCTGTTGAACATTTTCAGTCAGACTTAAAAACTTAAATTCAAAAAGTGAAATTCATATTACAGCATACAAATGTACTATACAGAGATAAACACTTTAAGGCTTTGTTTCTTATAATCTTGATAATTGTGGCTTATAGATGGATTATAGAAATTTCGAACATTGTGTAAAAGTTGCCCATTGAGTGATCCTAATCAGTTAATCAACCACAAGCACATGCAAAGGTTTCCTCAGCGTGTCTCAGTCTGGGTCAGGACACAGTCATGGGGAAAAACTGCTGACTGGTCAAAAATACTGGACTATTGCTCAGTGGCCAAAAGTTCTCATTTCAAAAGAAAGCAAGCTTTTCGTCTTCAAATCAATGTTAGAGTCCTTTTGTAAAAAGTGCAACTGAAAATATTGGTTTTATGTTGTTTACCAGTTCCAAAGTTAAATGTTCTTTTGATAATAAGGTGTATTTATTTTTGACAGAATATTTATTGCATGCTTAAGTTATCACCATTACATCAGTTTAAAATGGTCTTCAAACAATATTATCATTTATCGCAATAATTTTTGAGACGATTAATCGCTCAGCAAAATTTGTTATCGTCACAGGCCTAGTAGTGCTGTCTAGAACTTACCTGTCTTCTCTGTTGCGATCAGCAGCATAGAACTGCTTGCGTAACCACCTGGAGGATGAGAATGAATGGACTTAACATTTTTAATAAACAACAAATTTGGATGATAATGACATGTATGCTTTAGTGTACCTTTCTATTTGTAATGGTGTTGGTGATTTCAATGTATCGTCCCTGAGCCACTTTAACCCCTTCACCCACATGGACATCTCCTCATCAGATGTTGCTGAGGAAAGCAGTCATTAAGAAACAAGAGTCATAAATATGAAGGTACTACATGTAAAAACAAACAGTCATAATTGAAAGAAGATGTCCCTTTTTCCACCAACTGAGGTTTGCTACAATGACAGATGAAGAATGTTTGAGTGCATACCTGCCAAGCTGAGGGATTTAAGGCGAAACTCCGTGCCGTAGAGAATAACAAAGCAGAAGTTGTCGAGCCGTACTGCTGAGTCCTCGACATAGCGCTCAAAGTCCCGGGACTTCTGACCAGGACGGATCTCTTTGATCTCTCGAATGTCAACTGTTGGACCAGACACACACAAAACAGTGAGCAAAACAAAAAAAGTCGCCATTTCTTTTCAGGACCATTTCCAAAGATGATGGGAAACTAGGCACAGGGCCATTCACTGGAATCCAGATACACCCAAGCTTTTAAAAAGGGATAAAAACACTTTTTGCCATACCATTTCCTTAATTACATACACTTAGTACTCTACTCACTGGGCTATTAAGTAAACATCCCCTCCATGAACTGCATTCCTTCATCACATGCCCATATGATTTCTGCCACTGAACCTGCACTTTGAAATCCAGAACACAAGACCAAGGAACGCACAGATGAGCCTGTGAACTTCATGAAGTCAGCTTTGATGACATTACAGGGTAAATATATTTTATACATGGTACTGTTTGGGAATATTGTATAAAAACTTATGAATTTAAAAATATATATATATTTATTTTCTCATGGAAAGTTTATCATTTGTAACATTGCCACAAATCCCCAACCAAAATCCCCATGAAAGGTTTCTGGGAATTTTCCACCCCTTGATGTCCTTTCAGGGAATAATGCAGCGATGCCTTTGCTAATCTGATGTAATGTACTGCCAGAAAGCTGCCTGTAGGAACATTATTACACTTTGACTCTCTTAAGAAATATTAAATAGAAAAAATACAGTCAGTCAAGGTGGAAAATAAAAGGGTGAGTCCCATCCACTGGTGTTTAGCAGCCGACCTGGAGCAGACAGCTCACCTAGTTGATCAGTTGATAGCTTTTTATGCTTGAGGTGTCCCTCAAAGAGCAAAATGTCAACAACTAGAGATGCACTAATCAATTTTTTTTGCCCAATATCAATATCCAATATTAATATTGCTGTTATGGCCAACATTTAACAATGTCTTTTATATTACATCTAAATTTTATAAGAGTCAAAAAATACCCACAATACTGCCAATGTTTCTCTGCTTCAGCTAAAAATCCCACAATCCTGCACTGCATCACTGTCATATAAGCAAACAAATATCAGATAGTGACTTCACTTCCTTCTCCCCCCAAAAACAGAAACGGTAACAAGTTGGAAATTAACACTGCATAATGATTTCAGCACGGTTTCTGTTATGGGACAAACATAGGTATAAAAAAACAAAACAAACCAAAAGATTAACATTGTGTTAATGTTGATATTTCTGGCATCAAAACATCTCATAATTTGTGCAATAAGCAGCTGAAAACAACTACTAATATTAGCAACTCAGCATCATATTTGTTATCTTATTATCATTCTACATTACAGTAAACAAACATTTTATGGTTAAGAAGAGCATCATAACAATATAATTGTCGTTAAATTATTTTAGGAACAGATGTTTTGACAAGAAGGAATTATTGGTAGTTTTTGTTCTAAATAAAATAATTTGGATTATTTTTGACTGGATATATATATTGTGACTTAAAAATACAATTTCTACTCCAGGTTATTATAGTCAGAAACTCAAAGTCAGACATTTGCCTAACATGGACAAAGAAAAAAAAACATGAGTAAAGCTTAATAAGAAACAAACTTTTACATTCTGGGCCTGTAAATGACAACATTTTGTAAGACATAATTCTGTGATAATGTTAAATGTGTACTGAAATAGCTTCAAACTTTCTAAGAATTTTTTTCTTTTTTTTTTCCATTTAAACCTTATGTATAAAAATGTTAAAAATAACAGTTGAGCTAACAGGAACTTGTTTTATGCACCCCCTTATCACATGAAGCAGAGGCTTAGAACATCAGACAAACCACAAATGATTCACTTTATGTGCCATACAGTACAAAGATAATGATCAACACGAATGACACAAATATGGAGCTTACAACCAATAAAATCACTTGAAATTGCATATCGCATCAGAGGCACTTCTATATAAAATCTGTATTCTAACAGGAAACTGGGTAAGCTATGGCGCATAGAGACACTGTCATCTTTAAGGTGTGTCTTGGCGTGATTATCAAGTGGTCTGGAACTTTCCAAGAGTAAAGGCTTGAAGTAACTCGTTGGGTCCCTGTCGGTACTACTTAAGTCGATTTTGAAAACCCAAAACTCTCCTGCTAAAAACACACATTTCTTTCAGCTCCTGCTCCTCTTCCTGCCCCCATACCACACATCCTGTGCTTTTGTCGCCTACACACCACATCTGTGCTTGTGCATAGGTGACGCTGTGCATGCTCTTTTGTCGTGTAGTTTAAACTAGGTCTTCTCGTAGCTTGCCAGTCATAACTCACAACTTAGTTTACTTCACCCACTACACAGCCAGCAGACATCCGTTGACAGCAGGGGAGCTGGAGTTACTGTTAGTCATTTTGAGTCAAAATATTTGGAAGCTTTGTCAGGAAGTAAAGGGGATAGCCAGAGATGTGATCTAACCCTCTTCAGTTCCTCCTTCCATTTCGGTCAAATCCCAGTTCCACAACAAAGTCCTCATATTTGCTTCTTTTAACTAAAAATGCACATGAACAAGTAACTAATATGGCTTCAGGTCTTTATTTAAATATTTAACCGTAAGAAGGATCCACTTATTTGTTTAAGTGGATCCTTCAAGAACACTGTAGCTCACAATATGACACTACACAATCCACATTAGTTAACTTATTGGATTAAGCTAAACTGGAGACTCATATTTTCTCAACAGCTACTCACAACAACATAACTCAACCTTCTCCAGGACACTTAAACTGGATCTACTCAGCTCCAGGGCTGAGCTCGTTTTCCAATGGGGAAAAAGACGAAATTGGCAACATTTTTATTGGAGCTCATTCAGAGGCCCTTTATGCTTGTGTACTTATTTTTCACTAATTTGTTGACGCAAATCTCATAAAAAACACTGAGATGAGTGTCAAGAGTGTAAAAAACCCAAAAAAAGTGCGTCACTTAGAAAAGAAATGAGAGGTCTGAACTGAGTGCATGTGCCCTTCTTTTGCAGGAGGGCTGGAAAAAACAGGTCATAGCGACAAAAAACTTTCCACACATGAACGCAGGTAATTCACACTGCATTTCTACAAATCAGCTACACGCAACCTAATAAATGACTTATTACTTAAAAAGAAAAAAAAAGACACATTTTATGATTTTTTTTTTACTGATGGCTCTTACGTTCATTTCTGTGTTTAAAATCTTAAAGTAGTTAAGCAGAAACTTGTGACAGAATGACATTGTAACTGCTATTCTCAGCAAAGTAAAACAAGAGGGGTTTTTTTTTAAGGCAAATTTGAGCTAAATGCAGCAGAAAATAAACTTTAGGGTAAACAGTAAACAGCTGCTGCTATGGGGTCCGACTGTCAGATTACTGAAAATATGATTGTTGTGAGAAAACACAAATGATGTGTGAGAGTAAACAGCTGCAATTGAAATAACACTTCACAATCACATGGCTTCACTGAAACCACTTTCTGGTCTCTGAGCGGATTGTAATGGTGCACTAGGACACAACACACAGATTCATCACATATCCCTGCTGCAAATGATCAAGTGTATATCAATGGAATACCACGTTTCTGGCAATAACATGTTTATGGGAATAAATTATTCCCATTCCCAATATGTAATTCTAATATTGTACATGCCATTTTTAAAATTTGATTGTCAGAACACTTGATAGAATAATCGGTGACTAAAGTAACTGTTGGTAAAAGTCCTAAATAGAAATTGCTGGCAAATACTGTAATAACTAATTTTACATTTATTTTTTTTAGCTTAACTCAAGTCCTCTCAGCACTCTGTGTAACAACCAGGACCCTGAACAATAATCTCTGAAGTGCAGATGACAGTCCATCAAACAGGTTTTATATCATACTGCAATGCAAAATATGTATTTATTGGCTAATAAACACATTAGCCAGTGTTTATTGCATTCCAAGTTTTCTGCAATATCAAGAATATAATAATAAAACGCTAGTGGTGACAACAGTTGCTTTAAAAATCATTCACTTTAGAAATGACACCTAGGAAGAAACCTATTCTTTTAAGCCCTTTGCAAACAACAGATAGATAAGTAACAGCTGGTGAGCTTGTCTGCACTCAATAGAGATGTGCCTACAATTGGGCTGTTGACGGAAAAAGCACAATTTTCAGCCTAATCAACCTTCATTAGCAACAGCTTAACAATAATAATCTCAAATGTTCATTTTTCCAATTGGTGAACACACAATACACAAGACTTTTTGCTGCCGACAGCGTTACTAAAAGAAAACTTAACTTTAGCCATTTTTAGTTTCATAATGAAAATAAAGTCAAAGAAACATGAACAGACACAAGAACTTATTTACAATGAAACTCTACATGCTGCAGCATGCTCAGACATGTCAGTAGGTTATTCAGGCTGTGGGACAGTGAGAGAGAGCAACACTTGCACAAAATTGTTGTCACTAATGAAGACAGCCTTTATAGAAGTCTCCGGGAATACTTTTGGAGAAAGATGTTTAAGTAATGCACACCCTGCTAACGGTGCTAATTGCAAAGATGCTATAATTTCAAAATGTAACTGTAATTATTTCACTTTTACAGCATAACGATACTTAGCATTAACTGCTCTCTTAGACACACTGATGTTGCTTCTGCTCCTTATTTAAATAAGCAACTACCTTTTTGGAAGGCCAGAAAAACCCGTTTGTTTATATATCACAACTCTTAGAAATAAAAACTAGCCAGAATAGGCAATATTAAGCTACACATCACAATTTCAAAAAGGCCCACAATATAACTATTTTTTGAAAGAAAAAAATGTCAATTGCAAAAAAAAATACATATGAAACAGTGAAAAGGCTGTGATTGAAAATGAATCCACAAAATAATATAACAAATTATTAGTTTCTATGGCTCACATATGAGTCATAGAAACTTGACTTTGTCAAGCCCAAAAAAAGCAACACTTTTCTACAATTATCATTTTTCTTCATGATATTCTGTAACTTACAGAGAAACAGTCTTTAATCATTATGTTTCACTTTAAACTTAAGCGTTGCAATATATGGTTGTCAC